TGTGGTTCCTTTCACGAACTTGGTTTCTTTCACGTACTTTTACTAAAATTCAAATTTATTATCACTTGACTAAAATTCAAAGTTGCTATGCTTTACTTCAACTCTCGGTATCCTTTCTATGCGCAAGACATGCACCTATTTATCTTTGTTTTTGATGAATTGTTATCCACTGAAAAGGTAATCCAAACATGAAACACCGAAAGCATCTTTATTCTTAACATCAACAAAACAATAAAGCATAACTTAAGCAAGAAGATACCTTTAAACATTAGACAAGAAAGTAGCTTTTTTTTTTTTACATCTAATTTTTTTTATTTATGTAAAATCCAAAATTACATAATACATATAAAAATAAGAAAATTACAACCAATTACATAATTTAAACTTTGGAAAACAAAGAAAGTGATTTTTAACGATGTTTTTCTCCAAAAAGTCTTACTCGCTAACAGAATATCAACTCTAATATTTTCTTTCCACACATTCGTATTCAACCCGATGCGATCTTCATCTTTGGCTATCACCCATTCGGTGAAATTAACAAACACCAAATCTTCTTGTTGTATTACATTGACCAATTTCCGAGTAAGATTTATACATATTTTTTGATTAAGAACTCAATATATTGATTCTTTTGATAGAAATAAATCTTAAGACTGCCAATTTTCAACGATTATACGAATATCGCCATACAACAAAAAAAGTTGTATCTTCGACTCTGAAACATCGTCATCTTCTCCACGGTGGTTTCCATGGTGGTAACCACAATAATGCGGTTATAATTTGATACATAAACGATAAAGACACCAAAAGATTACCGAATCGTATATTTCATAAGAGAAAATCACCGGAAACTATCCCACAACAATCGGTGATGGTGACGAGAGAAAACCATCCTTCATCAAACGAAGAAAACCGTTCGTCGTTGTGGAGATAACCGATCGGCACTACGGGAATTGGCGAATCGCTTCACTCCAGCGTAAATTGCAGTCATCCTTAAACAAAGGAAGAAATAGAGAAGATGGTTTAGAAACCATAATTGAATCGATGGAGTCTTCTGCATCGCATGAGAGAGACAGAGAGAAAAAACAGTTACTAGAGAAGTTTTCGTTTTTGCGTTTTTACAAGAAAGTAGCTTTAGCCTAGTATATAGTACAATGTATAAATTTAATTTATTTTGGAAATATTAATAGAACAAATGCTTTATACTGTTTCAATCGCCCTTTAGTTAATCATAGAGACTTTTTATATATTTTACAGTCCCACTGAATTTTGTTTTTTGATCCGAACCCACTGAATTTATATATATTAATTATGAAGTCCCTCCATTACTCCAACACTAAACAGTCATTATTGTTGGCATTACATTTGCAAGTCTATATTAGTCACTCATGAATCCCTTCTTTTAACTCATCAAATCAAAATCACAGTAAAAAAAAAAAGAAGAACTTCAATCTTTGTGATCATATCAATATGGAGAGCAAACAGGATAACTTCAATCTTTGTAAAGATGAGAAGTCGATGTTATATGATAATGCAACCGGAATCATAGGTATCGCTATAGCTGTTGGAGGAATCGTAGGTCTAGCATCGTGGCTTGGTTCGAGCTCGAAAGAGAAAGGTCCGGAAGAGAAGATGATGAAGGCTCCTGGAAAAGATGGTTACATTCCCAGGAATGCTTTCAAAAATAACCCAAAAGACTACTTCAAGGATTTAGGTAAGAATTGAGTTCCTTAGCTCAGAGTCTATATATGAATTATGTAGCATACCACATGTAAAAATGTAATTTTTAACCATGATATTTGATAAATTTACATCTGAATCAAATGTTTTGAACCAAAACAAATCTAGAAAACAAAATTATTTGAAAGTTTTTTAAGAAAAAACATAATATAAAAGATTATGCACGCATTCTTTTAACAATATTACAATGTGGTACCAATTATCTCAACACCACTGTTTTAACATTATGAAAGTTACTAATCAAAAAC